ATGGCATAAAAATTTAAAAATTTTTCTCTTAATTAAAATAAAATTAAATATTTTATATCGTTTTATCCGCAGAATCAAAGTGATTTTTCACCTTCACTTGATTCGTCCTAATAATGTTTATGGATGTTTTATTCATAAAACAAGCCTTGTTGGATTAGAAAGAGCTTTATATTTTTTAAAATTAAATTTTCTCAGAAAAAAAAATTCTGCTTTTTATAATCAAAGACCAGTATTATATAGCATATGCACCAGAGAGAATACTTTAAAATGTTCTACCCACTCTTGGAATTAACATTTTGCCTAAGTAGTCAGAGGTTACATTTGTGCTTCCCTCTGTGAGGCAGGTCCCCTCTGAAGAGTGATCCCCCAAATACCCCTGCCAGCTGGTAAAGGTCCTCTCTGAGCTGCCAATAAGAGCCCGCTGAAGCTGCTCTTCGCCCGCAAAAGATTGAGGCTGACCTCTCCATAGCCATTGACTCTCCATCATGGGAGTGAAGGAAGCAGATTCTCGATTCTGTAAGCGAGACATTATGTTTGCAAAAAAACTCTCTTTGAATATTAACGAAACAAACGAGCGCAAGAGAACTTATAATAATTTTAAAAGTAGAGTCTCTGTTTCACCAGTTTACACTGGACCAGACGGAATTAGTAAAGGTTTTGATTTATCGGCTGGTAGATTGGATACTCTCTCTTTGAATATTAACAACAAACGCGCGCAAGAGACTTATCATCATTTTAAAAGTTAGTCTCCTTTTTCTTCAACAGTTTTCACTGGGCCAGTCAGAATTTGTAAAGTTTTGATTTTATCGGCTGGTAGATTGGAAGGGAAGGAACATGCCGGCATCAAACTCCTAAACCGGTGTCATTGTGATGATAGCAGGAAACGCAAACATAGACTTCCTCAGGAAAGGGTATGTCTTCTATGTTTCCCTCCTTTGGTAGATTAGAGACGAGTCCCACTCCTTTATTTGAAAGTGATAAATATGTTCTCTTTATGACTTACAGCCTGTGGAAGATGGGAACAGTTCATCTGATACAGAATAGCCTATGAAGAAAGAACCAGATCTCGACAACGATGAAACGCAGAGCCTTCCCTCATGTCAGTCTGATGACCTCGTTGTGGACCTCTCTACGCTTGCTACTGCTCAATCTGATGACTCTGTTGAGGTCACTGCCGCAGCAGGTGCTGAACAAACTGGCGACCTTGAAGCAGACCCTAACAACCAGTCGGAGAAGGAAGGGAAAACGCCCGATGTCAGAGTACAGACTGGAGATGGAGTAAAGGCAGCAGATGGAGTAAAGGCAGCAGATGGAGTAAATGCAGGAGATGGAGAAAAGGCCGGAGATGACGTACCTGAAAAGGAAATCATTTTCGAGTGGGAGGTTATCAATCTTACAGAAAGTGAACAGGAGGAGCGCAGTCATTCAGTCTAACCACTAAAACTTGCACAGTTTCGCCCCTTTGCTCGCACTAAAAAACTTTGCACAGCTTTTGCCCTTTTGTATGTGAATTAATAAAAATATTGCCAAACTCTGATTTTTCTTTTTCTTTACATATAACTATATATATTACTATCTTCTCTAGACTAAATATATATATATATATATATATATATATATATATATAATATATATTATAATATATATATATATATATATATATATTTTATATTATATATAAACAATATCACACCACTTAAGCCTCTCCCCATCTGAGAGTGGGTAAGAGGAAAATATATGTCAAAGTACCTATAAGAGCTCTATCAGCACAAAGGTCTTCCCTAGATGACCTTTCTCACTGCTTTAAGCCTCCCCCACCTGGAAAGATCTAGCAGCCGCTAGAATAAACGGTACCGTGGTACCTGGAAGAACCTTTTTTTGCTGAGGTACGGGCGGACGAGCAACATTCCCTCGGAGACCAGCTGCCTTCCATTACCGCATTCTTTGAACCCAGCAGTATTGTGAAGTAGCAACAGTTGTGTCAATGAGTTGCAGACCGGGGAACTCCCTCGGAGATGGCAAGCTTGTACCCAGTCACCTGAATCCTTTGTACTCCCTCTCCCATCTATCAGGGTGATAGAGTTTAGGGAATCAGAAGTGATCATTATCTACCTTTTTCTGCTTAGTAATACACAGAAATAAGTCTCTCTATCCCCTTGGGGGATGATTAAACATGTTAAACTTGTACCCTGACAGCCCTGAGGTTATGTTGTCCCCGAGTATCACATTCTTTTCCACACTCATTATCCTGGAATCTGCCACCCGGTCACCTGAATCCTTTGTTCTGCTTCTGTTCCTACCTAGTAATGCACAGGAATAAATCTCTCTATCCCCTTGGGGGATGATTAAACATATTAAACTTGTACCCTGACAGCCCTGAGGTTATGCTGACCCCCCATTATCACATTCTTTTCCATGGTCATTATCCTGGAATCCGCCAGTGTCTCTAGATCGACATGAATATACTACTGATAGGGTATAGGGGATGGGACATTGCTACAGTTGGTGGCATGAGTGTTTATTGTGGTACTGTTATATTTTTTACCTGTCAGAACTGTTGGTGACTTGGTGCCAGTGAGCTTATGTATAGCACAATGTATACACTGTAAAATGTTGTTTGATACAACTTTTAAATTGTTAGGATAGCAGCTGGCATTTTTGTCACTACTGTAGAGTTGTTATTGTTATTAATATAATATGTTCTTAGGTTTAAATTGGTTTGGTTAATTTATAAGTTAATTAAACAATGGTGAAATGTTGTACATTTTGGTGAATTGGGGTAAATATGGGGGGGTCGTTATACTGCTTGCATTCTTTCGGCATATATTTTACTGTGTGTATATTGGATTTTGTAGATGGGAAGGGGTGAGGGGACTCTGTATTTTGTCTTACTTGCAAATTTATATTTTGTTGCAATGGAATTATGTATCATGGCAGTATACATCTATTGCCTGAATGAAGTGTATATATTTTGACATTACTGCATGGCACAGTGTTTCCAGAACGATGACTTTATATTGTCTGCCGATGAACTGATTCTGTATACTTTGTTTAGTTAATGTATTGTATGTTTTTAAATAAAATATAAAAAAATAACAGTGATTAATGTTTATGACATTTCTGGATTGTTTTGGTAAGACAATTTGTTAAAATACTTGTAGTGGTTATGACGTAAGAGAAAATAAATTGATTATCGTAAAAATAATAATATGAATTACCTAAACAAGATTAACTTTGACAAATTGTGCTTTAACAAAAATAATCTATGCAGAATTTGGGTCAGTTGAAGAAGGTGGTTTTTATACATGACTGTATCACTTGGCGGACTAAGAACTTCATGCATTTTCTGGAAGGGAATTACAAATTAAAAACTATATTCTTTTTATGTAGTTTTTGGTTTCTTGGATAAGTTGAGGCAAACACGTCATATGTCAAAGAGGAACATATTTATTATTATTATAATATGTATATATATATATATATATATATATATATATATATATATATATATATATATATATATATATATATATATATATATATATATATATAATATAATATATATGTTCATATATAATGTTCATAGTTTGCAGGGTTCCCGTACGTGGACCCAGGATGTATTGTGGACAGGATTCAGTGGGGACATTACCACACAGTATCTAATGTAGGACATTATACTTAATTCTCTGGCGTCTGAGATATGACAAATACAGTGAGTGGCCATAGAATTTCATCTGTTTGGATTTATCGTTTATTCATGAACGGATTTTAACTTATATTGGGAAAGTTAATTGTCCTTTTAAGTCCAGTGTGAGACGTTCTGGGGGTCAACGCCCCGCGGCCTGGTCGTCGACCAGGCCTCCCAATGGATTAGAGTCTGATCAAACAAGCTCTTAATGCTGGCTGCACTCATTCCCGCGTACGAACCATAGCCCGGCTGATCGGGCGCTGACTTTATCTGTTCATTTCCCTCCTGAAGACAGCCAGAAATCAATACACAAATAATTCGCACATAGGAGAGGGGAGCTTGCGACGACGTTTCGGTCCGACTTGTACCGTTTAAAAAGTCACACTAACAGAAAGGAGAGAAAGAGTGAGTACATATAGGCCATCAGACAAGAGAGAGAGCAAGAAATATATTAGTAATTCTCCTTATGTATTATGAGAGGTTGTTAAATAGTCTTGGGCCCAGGAAGCTTAAAGTGTTTTCTCTTAGTGCACTCATGGCGCCCTTGCTTTACATTAGGAGGCTGTTGCACTGTTCGCCTAGCCTTTTGATATCATAGGCAGTGATTCTGTGTGCAGATTTTGCACCAGTCCCTGTAGGATTTTTAAGGTGTAGATTATAATGTATCTTTCTCGCCTACATTCCAGGGAGTACAAGTCAAGGGATTTCAAACGTTCCCAGTAATTAAAGGCTTTGTCTGAAATAATACGTAGTATTTTTTTTCTGTACATTCTCTAGATATGTGATTTCACCTGCCTTAAAGAGTGCTGTTAGCATACAGTAATATTCATTCCAATAGTTAGTGACTGTATCTTCTTATCAGTTTTAAGTTTTTACTGCTGATGTGTTTCTTGAATGGAAACTTTCTTTTAATTTAAGGTTGTGTAAGTTTTAATGTGGCAATTTTTTCAAGAATATTAGTTTTTGTGAAATACTTGGGATATATCTCTTGTGATCAGAAGTCTCAGTGTTTGACTTTATTACGTTTTCTGAATATATAGAACTTTAGTGAACTTCTATGTATCTGTAACGTTTGTATCCTTTAGATCTATGTTATGTACCCAGAGCTTAAATATAACTTGCTTATTTTGGGCCTCTACAGACCCATTTTTTTTAATTAGCATTGTGTTACAGGGGACTATGGTTATGCAGTACGGGGATACATATCTCAGATCATTCAGCGACTGATATACATTTAATATCACAAAGTTTCCCTGTGACTTTATGTACAAATTGTGTAAAGTTGGTTGTTTAGGTTAATTAAGAACCACTGTAAGGATTAATTGAACTGTTTCTTGAAGTCTGACTCGCTGAAGTTGCAGCACAGGGAATCCAGTAGTGATATGTGAGTCTAGGTTTACGGCTTTACTTTCAGTATTTAATAAGGTTCACTATGAGAGTTAAGTAATGATCTTTGATGTTCCTCTGTCACTACATGTTCTCTGAGACAATGGTAAGAAAACTAATTACTGAGCACTTAGTGGAGACTTCTTAAGAGCGTAGTAGATATGCAGCATCGTTTTTCCCCTCGTAGTTCTGTTACACGGTTCGAACAGTAGTTTCACGTATTCTCCAGTGATCACTTATAGGATGTTTCGAACAGATATATCACGTCTTGACCAGTGGAGCCACATTTCGACCAATAGCACCAAATGTCAACCAGAGGAATTTGCTCAGACTTGTTGGTGCCAGTGAGTCACTCGTCATCACATACACTTTACTTTTCACTCTAATCTCAATGACATCAGGATAAAGGATGCATGTTTTCCTGTGAGATAATTACCCCATATGAGGCTTTTAATAAAATTATATTTTTTTTTGTAAAACCTATAAACGCTGATAAATTTATTAACATATCAAACATACTCAAACTTATTCCAAAAACGAGTCCCAAGAATCATCATAAGCGCCAGTGGTGTCTGTACAGAGGTTGTTACAGGTGTCTGTGGTGTTCTCACAGATGAGAGATTGTGTGTTAAAGACTTCGTTTTCGGGGCAAAGAAATAAAGCCACATCAGGAGGGTTGCAGTACAAGTAACCATGACAGTTGTGTGGATTAGGAATCCTGCCCTCAGTCACGCAGTACACGTCACAGGGGTCACAAGTTTCGTAGCAAACAGTAGGGTCATCAGAACACGCTCCCGTCTCGAAGTTGAAATACGGAGTACCAGTCGGACATTCTACTTCCAGAGGACCTGTTTCAAGGCAGATTTCATATTTGCTACAATCCAGTGTTGACGGAATTAACGTGCCTGGAATACACAGAAAATGTATGCAGTTATGGAAATGAAAAAAAGGCACACGTTATGGAAATAATTCTCTCACATTAGTTGCCTATTTATTTATTTATTTTCAAAAAGAACCAGAAATATTGAACATTTTATAGGCATTCAAATTACTGCAGAATTTTGTATAATCATTTAATCTTAAAATGATGATGATTATTATTATTCCTGTTATTCATTATTATTATTATTATTATTATTATTATTATTATTATTATTATTATTATTATTATTATTATTATTATTATTATTATTATTATTATTATTATTATTATTAATAGTAAGTACGAAGGGAATACTGAAATGTTATCTATTAAAGCGAGTGGGTGAGAGAGTGAGAGGAGAGAGAGAGAGAGAAGAAGAAGAGAGAGAGAGAGAGAGAGAGAGAGAGAGAGAGAGAGAGAGAGAGAGAGAGAGAGAGATACATACAGACAGAGACAGAGAACGAATTAAAAACATATTAGAATGCTTGTAGGATAACGTGACCATCCTGACCTGGAGTCTCACACTGGATGACACACGGGCTGCAGAGACCTTTACAATAGTCGGCAGAAGGATTTATCTTCTCACATTGCCTCACACTTTCAGCTGAATTGAAGAAATACCTGAAGAAGACAACTGTGCATCACTCCTGGATATACAGTGTTTACCGGCATATAAGGCGCACGACATTCAAGGGCTCTTACAAGAGGCTACCCTTAACGCTGACTTTGAGCATATAACGCGCAGGATGATTTTCAAGATTTTTGTGGGAAAAAAGTGCGCCTTATATGCCCGAGAATACGGTAAATACACTATGGTATGTATTACATAGTAGAAGACTGGTAGGACGTATCACACAGTATAAGACTTGTAGTATGTATCACACAGTATAACTCTGACAGGATGTATCACACAGCATAAGACTGGTAGGATGTATCACACAGTATAAGACTGGTAGGATGTATCACACAATATAAGTCTGGTAGGATGTATCACATAATATGAGACTGGTAGGATATATCGCACAATATAAGTCTGGTAAGATGTATCACACAGAATAAGACTGGTAGGATGTATCACATAATATGAGACTGGAAGGATGTATCACACAATATAAGTCTGGTAAGATGTATCACACAGAATAAGACTGGTAGGATGTATCACATAATATGAGACTGGTAGGATGTATCACACAATATAAGTCTGGTAAGATGTATCACACAGAATAAGACTGGTAGGATGTATCACACAATGTAAGACTGGTAGGATGTATCACACAATATAAATCTGGTAGGATGTATCACACAATATTAGACTGGTGGGATGTATCACAAAGTATACAACAGGGAGAATGTATCACACAGTATAAGACTGGTAGGATGTATCACACAGTATAAGACTTGTAGTATGTATCACACAGTATAAGACTGGTAGGATGTATCACACAGCATAAGACTGGTAGGATGTATCACACAGTATAAGACTGGTAGGATGTATCACACAATATAAGTCTGGTAAGATGTATCACACAGAATAAGACTGGTAGGATGTATCACACAATGTAAGACTGGTAGGATGTACCACATAATATGAGACTGGTAGGATGTATCGCACAATATAAGTCTGGTAAGATGTATCACACAGAATAAGACTGGAAGGATGTATCACAGAATGTAAGACTGGTAAGATGTATCACACAATATAAATCTGGTAGGATGTATCACACAATATAAGACTGGTAAGATGTATCACGCAATAAAAGATTGGTAGGATGTATCACACAATATAAGACTGGTGGGATGTATCACAAATATACGACAGGTAGAATGTATCACACAGTATAAGACTGGTAGGATGTATCACAGAGGATAAGACTGGTAGGATGTATCACATAATATAAGACTGGTAGGATGTATCACACAATATAAGTCTGGTAGCATGTATCACACAATGTAAGACTGGTAGGATGTACCACATAATATGAGACTGGTAGGATGTATCGCACAATATAAGTCTGGTAAGATGTATCACACAGAATAAGACTGGAAGGATGTATCACAGAATGTAAGACTGGTAGGATGTATCACACAATATAAATCTGGTAGGATGTATCACACAATATAAGACTGGTAAGATGTATCACGCAATATAAGATTGGTAGGATGTATCACACAATATAAGACTGGTGGGATGTATCACAAAGTATACGACAGGTAGAATGTATCACACAGTATAAGACTGGTAGGATGTATCACAGAGGATAAGACTGGTAGGATGTATCACATAATATAAGACTGGTAGGATGTATCACACAATATAAGTCTGGTAGCATGTATCACACAGTATAAGACTGATAGGATGTATCACACAATGTAAGTCTGGTAGGATGTATCACACAGTATAAGACTGATAGAATGTATCACACAATATTACTTGTACGATGTATCACACATTATAAGGCTGGTAGGATGTATCACACAGTATAAGACTGGTAGGATACATCACACATTGTAAGACTGGTAGGATGTATCTCACAATATAAATCTGTTAGGATGTATCACACAGTATAAGACTGGTAGGATGTACCACACAATGTAAGACTGATTGGATGTATCACACAGTATAAGACTGGTATGATGTATCACACAATGTACGACTTGTAGGATGTATCACACAATATAAATCTGGTAGGATGTATCACACAATATAAGACTGGTAAGATGTATCACACAATATAAGATTGGTAGGATTTATCACACAATATAAGACTGGTAGGATGTATCACAAAATATAAGACTGGTAGGATGTATCACACAATATAAGACTGGTATGGTGTATCACACAGTATGAGACAAGTAGGATGTATCACACAATATATGACTGGTAGGATGTATCACACATTATAAACCTGGTAGGATGTATCACACAATATAAGATTCGTAGGATGTATCACGCAATATAAGATTCGTAGGATGTATCACACAATATAAGATTGGTAGGATGTATCACACATTACAAGACTGGTAGGATGTATCACACAGTATAAGACTGGTAGGATGTATCACACAGTATAAGTGTGGTAGGATGTATCACACAGTATAAGACTGGTAGGATGTATCACACAGTATAAGACTGGTAGGATATATCACACAGTATAAGACTGGTAGGATGTATCACACAGTATAAGACTGGTAGGATGTATCACACAGTATAAGAGTGGTAGGATGCATCACACAGCATAAAACTGGTAGGATGTATCACTCAGTATAAGACTGGTAGGATGTATCACACAGTATAAGTGTGGTAGGATGTATCACACAGTATAAGGCTGGTAGGATGTATCACACAATATAAGACTGGTAGGATGTATCACACAGTATAAGACTGGTAGGATGTATCACACAGTATAAGACTGGTAGGATGATCACACAGTATAAACGGGTAGGATGAATCACACAGTATAAGACTGGTAGGATGTATCACACAGTATAAAACTGGTAGGATGTATCACACAGTGTAAGTGTGGTGGGAAATGTATCACACAGTAAAAAAACTGGTAGGATGTATCACACAGTAAAAAGACTGGTATGTTTGTATCACACAGTATAAGACTGGTAGGATGTATCACACAGTATAAGAGTGGTAGGATGATCACACAAAAATAAAAATGGTAGGATGTATCACACAGAAATAAGAGTGGTAGGATCATCACACAGTATAAAACTGGTAGGATGTATCACACAGTATAAACTGGTAGGATTATCACACAGTATAAGTGTGGTAGGATGTATCACACATTATAAGACGGTGGGATGTATCACACAGTATAAGACTGGTATATGTATCACACATTTATAAGACGGGTAGGATGTATCACACAGTATAAGAGTGGTGGGATGTATCACACAGTATAAGACGGTATGATGTATTACACAGTATAAGACTGTAGGATGTTCACACAGTAAAAGCTGGTAGGATGTATCACACAGTAAAAACTGGTAGGATGTATCACACAGTATAAGACTGGTAGGATGTATCACACAGTATAAAACTGGTAGGATGTATCACACAGTATAAGACTGGTAGGATGTATCACACAGTATAAGACTGGTAGGATGTATCACACAGTATAAGACTGGTAGGATTTATCACACAGTAATAAGACTGGTGGGAATTGTATCACACAGTATAAAACTGGTAGGATGTATCACACAGTATAAAACTGGTAGGATGTATCACACAGTATAAGACTGGTAGGATGTATCACACATTATGAGTCTGGTAGGATGTATCACACAGAAAAAAGACTGGTAGGATGTACACACAGTATAAGACTGGTAGGATGTATCACACAGTATAAGACTGGTAGGATGTATCACACAGTATAAGACTGGTAGGATGTATCACACAGTATAAGACTGGTAGGATGTATCACACAGTATAAGACTGGTAGGATGTATCACACAGTATAAGACTGGTAGGATGTATCACACAGTATAAGACTGGTGAAATGGTCTCAGAAACGAGATGAAAAAGATTCTTTTAGATCTGATTTCGTATTTCGAATATAAATACTTATAGTTTCCTACATAAGACGAACTGTGATCCAATATAAAAGTCAATTCCACACTGCAAGTTAGTTAATACTTGTCAGGCACTTGTGTGCAGATACTTGGCCTGTTGTGTGTGGCAGCCATCAGGCAGCCTGAGAATTACCAGTGTTAAGAGTGTTGGAAATTTATGGTAACAAGCATTGCTTCCAGGAATTTCATGAGATGTTTATTGGTGTTGTGGTTATGGTACAGACATTTAAGCAATTTCTTGGAAAGAGCATTTTTATTTGTGTTTTTTAAGTTCTGAAGCGTTTCCTCCTTAACGAAATATTTAGTTCATCCCGGATATGGAATGGTGTAGAACCCGGAGTTGGATTCTTGAGTTGTCTCCTCATCGTTGTTTTGAAGCAATGTACGTGTGACTTTTAGCAA